CCCTGTGACACTTAAGGTTGAACTATCTTCTTACGAAGATGGTTTTGCTTAATTCCCTGAGTTGCCTATGAACAGGGAGAGAATTGTTGAAATAAATCAGCATTTAAAGAGGAAAAAAACCCCACACATTTGGTAAAGAATGAGCTTAACACGTTAGCCCTTAATCCACTCATTCAAATCCTGAAACCCAGTGGGCTGGTGGGCTCCTTTCAGACCGTAAAGGACATATTCTTGAAAATAAATAAATAAGTAAATAAATACTTGTGCTTGCCTGAAAATAAATAAATAAACAAACAAATAAATACTGGGTAACGGGTTTAAATTGAAAGTGGGGAGGTTTAGATTAGATATCAGGAAGAAGTTCTTCCCGGAGAGGGTGGGGAGGCACTGGGACAGGTTGCCCAGAGAAGCTGTGGATGCCCCATCCCTGGAAGTGTCCAAGGCCAGGCTGGATGAGGCTTGGAGCAACCTGGTCTAGTGGAAGGTCTCCCTGCCCATGGCAGGGGGGCTCGAACTGGATGGGCTTTAAGGTCCTTTCCAACTCAAACCATTCTATGATTCTATGAAATAACTAAATAAACGGACCCAAAATATAAACAGACAAGATTAAGTCACCCAATGTGGCACAAAGTCTCCATCTGCTGCCGAGGGGCTGATGACTGGCCGGGGTTGGCCACGGGTCAGCGTGAAAACGCTCCTGTGGAGATTCTAAGCATGACAACCTGCTTCTGACCCAGCCCCCGAAACAGAGAGCTCAGACCCGGCTGCAGATGTCACTCCCAGTTCATAAAACGCTATTTCTTCCTCCCTTGTCTCAGCCTTTGGAGGATTTACGCCCACTTTATTCCCCCCTCAGCAGGCAGCCTGGGACTTAGTCCAGATCAGTAATTGATGACTAGGGCCGCTTGAGAAGACAGCGGCATAATGTACTGGTAGATTTTGCCTTCTTAATAGAGGCAATTAAATCATTTAATTATTTTACAGCAGCTTTATTGTTTCGTGGCAGTTTCCAAGAAGTACAAGACAGCCCTTGAAGAGCTGCGTGTCCCACTGGTAGCTTACCGATCGAGGAGGAGGAGAAAGTGCTGCTGACCAGGTCTTTTTGGCACATCTGACGCATGGGATGGAGCCGGCCTTCCAGGGCTGGCAAATATCCCATCTCACGGCTCCTCCTCCCCGTTCCCATCCCACTGCCAAGCTGCTCAGCCCTGTTACCATACAATTATCAGGGAGCAGGAGGCTGGCAGTGCAGCGCTGGGCACTGCTGCCCTGCTCACGCATCCCTGCGCTGTGGGCAGGAGCAAAGCCCAGTGCTTCACGGCTGGCGCTGGATGAGTCTGGAAGTTAAATTAATTCAGAGATCTCCGTTTCTCTGAGTTACAGCCCCAAGCCACAGCACTGGTCATCGAATGGGTGGCCAGCCTTTGTCCCTGCACACATGCTGGCACCGCGGGGAGGACAGCCAGGGATGCTGCAAGAGCGAGACCCCCCAGCCAGACCATGAGCCCTCCTGGTTACATGGGCTTATCTTTGAAAAACAGTGCTGAGGGCTGAGAAACATGCTTAAATACAATGCAGCCGGGAAGTTATTACTGCTAGAGTACAGGAAACACATGTCTGGATTCATAAAATGAACTGAAAATAATCATCACGGAGAAAGCAGTTTCTGGGAAATAAACCATTTAGAAAGATAAAAGGCTGAAGGTTTGGGGAAAATGATGATGAGATCTCCCCAAGCAGCCACAGCTCCAGTGCAGTGAAATTGCAGTTGCTCCCCTGACAAACAGGCTCTCAAATCACGCTGTATGCTGTTAGTCTGATGCAGGTTAGAGCCAGGGCATTTCCAAGGATGCTTTTCCCACATCATGCTAAAACCAGGCAATGCAGAGCTCCTTCGGTTCCCCTGGGAGCCGGCATTCCCCGCTGTGCAGTGCTGGCTTGGTGGGCGCGGGGCAAGCACAGAGCCCTGATGCTGGGCATCTTCTGCAGCAGCACCGCCGCTCCCTCCGGGGTCACCCCGCATGAGGAATGCAGTGAACCCCCCAAACCTCGGCCGGGCAGCGCAGCCCACCCACGACTCTGAGCAGGGTTTGTGCTAAAGAAAGGAGATTTCCGCTAAATTTGATCTTGTGTCTGTTATCGGCCAGCTACGGGTAACAACAGGGAAAAATACACATCTGGGAAAATAAACACAGAGCTTCTCTGGAGGTGGGAGCAGCTTTGAGTTTGCCAGTTTTGTGTAGCTGGCTGGAAGCAGACACATGCTTTGGCTTTTTTTTAACTTTTTGTACCCCCTACCTTGTACTGGTTCGCTGTTGCAATGAGAAAGGAGAAGGAGATGGCAGTAGCTGCCATGGCGTGGGTGGAGGGCATCCCGTACTCCGCATCCGTCCTCATTTCCAGCTTGACGACAGGTGGCGAGAGGGGCCGAGGCCACTTCAGGATGTCCTTGGAGACCTGGCCTATGTACATCACTATCTGGGGAGAGAGAAGGCCACAGGGCTGTCAGTCCACACAGGCAATCCCCACTCAGCCCACCCCAGAGACACTCCTATTCCTGGGCTTCTCCCTGCAAAATCCACCACCCCAAGTGCAGAATTTATCCCCTGAATTATTAAAGCGGTTTCCATTATCCCGGTCAGCGAAGGCAGCGGCAGTTTCACTGCACCGTGTTGTAACCTGATCAGAAGCGGGACCAAAAGGAGGGTTCGCTGATGAGATGCATCAACACAAGACGGTGTGAGACAGACAGCTGGCTCCCACCCCACGCAGGAGAGGTTCAGGTTTCACCCCTATCCCTCAAACCCCCTCTCCTGCAAAGCAAACGCCAATAAGAGAAATTTTTCCACCACCACCTCCAAACCACCACCTTTCCCAGCCGCGTCCCTCCCAGCTCCACGCAGCAGCTCTCCGAGGGCAGCGCCAGCTCTCCTGTTCCCAGCAGCTCCCACTCACTCCTATTCCCAGCAGCTCCCGCTCCACCTGCCCACGAGGGACCCCGCCGGGATGCACCACCAGCACGGTTATTAAATAACCGCCCTGGCACCCTCGGGGAGGCAGCAGAGAGAAAACTGGACGAGCAACGTGACGCACCAGCTCTCCTGCCCAACTCCCCAGCAACAACGAGCCTTCATGCCCTGCTGGGACACCAGGAGTTTAACCAAGGGCTCCATTAATTAGCTACCGAGCACTGCCACGCAGTGATTTTTGGGGGAAAGGCTGCATTCTCAGGTCACTGCAAGCAGCAGTAATGGGAAGCAGAGGCCAGAGGCAAAGCTGGCCAGCATCCCCGAGAGGTGCTGCCCACCCGGCAGCGCCCAGGACACCCGCCGTGCTGACATCCTCTGCCCCTCGGCACCCTCCTCCCAAAGGCAACGGGCTCTCAGCATCCACGGCGAGAAGGACGTGAACAAAAATCCCCCAGGCTGTTCCTGGAGGATGTGTTTGCTCCCTATTGCCACCCTCCTCCCTCTGGATAGTGCAGTCAGACGCATGCAAAACAAGCTCTACAAAACACTGTAAAACCTATTTTCTCCTTTTTTCTTTTTCTAAATACAAAAAGAAGGTTAACTGACGTCTGCCATGAAAGCTCAGCCGCTGTGCGAGACGGCTTGCTGTTCTGCTTCTCACGCTTCCACTAGCAAAGGAGGGGTCTTAAAATAACATCCTTCCCATGCTGGTGTTAGCCATATGCCAAAACAGTAACACGATCGTCCGCTGCCACATTTGTCACCAGCCACACTGCATCCCTCTCCCTCCCACCAGCCACTGAAAAAATGGCTTCACAATAAAAGAAATCATAGAATCACAGAATGGTTTGGGTTGGAAGGGACCTTAAAGATCATCTAGTTCCAACCCCCCTGCCATGGGCAGGGACACCTTCCACTAGGGCAGGTTGCTCAAAGCCACATCCAGCCTGGCCTTGAACACTTCCAGGGATGGGGCATCCACAGCTTCTCTGGGCAGCCTGTTCTCGTGCCTCACCACCCTCTCCGGGAAGAATTTCTTCCTGATATCTAATCTAAACCTCCCTGATTTCAATTTGTACCAGTTAGCCCTTGTCCTGTCACTACAGGCTCTTGTAAAAAGTCCTCTCCCAGCACCTTTGACATATTCAAGAACACGTCAGGCTTCACAAATCGGGACCGGGAAAAAGCCAAACCATCACATTCCTCATCCTCCTCTCTACAGCAAAGCATGTGCCACGGGGAGTGCTAGGCTTACCACCAGCACCAGCACCTGGAAAAGCAACCGCTGGTGCCTTTGCATCCTTTATTCCCCATCACATGAATCACATTGCCGGCTTATTATTGGCACCACCTGGGCACACCTGGCTGCTCCTGCTTCACCCTGAGGTATGGGGCATAGGGCAGGCTGCAAACACCCTGCCCGGTCTGCTCGCAGCGAACACAGGCTCAGGGAACAAATGTCGTTTGGTTAATGCCACCGGTTTCCACATGGATGCAGGCACATCTTTGGGAGTTAATTAAATTGTAGGGTTGAAAGGAAAATTACTCTCCCCGACAGAACATAAAACACTGAGGCTACTATTTGTGATAACATCTGAGAGGCAAGGGAGGATGAGCCAGTTTATCAGCAGCCCTCTATAATAATGACTTCCACTTGTGGAAGTATTATTAGCACTAGTACGTAACAGTGTTACAGCAAGGGAAATGAGTCATCTGTGGAATGAAGGCTATGCTAGGACTCCTCTGACGGTCAAAAACAGGCTGGGTGCTGGAGGTGCTACAGCTAAGTAAAAATACCAGGCACCCTCACAACACCTCCCTTGCGGATTCAATTCTGACCTTTTTATTTTTTAAAACCACATATTGTGTAGACACAGTAATTGGAGATGAGACAACCCCCACACAATATCCGGGGGAGTCCTGAGCACGTTCAGAGGAAGCGCTGCCCTCTGAAGCACCAACCTTTGCCTCTGGCTTATCTGGGCGCCGTGCACGTGGTTTCACACGCAATGTCCTGGATTATTTGGCAGAAGCACCAGTTGTGGGTGCGGTAAAACGTCTCCCGTCGGCCAACCTGGCCAGCTTCCCCGAGATGGCGAAAGCTGCCGAGAGCACGGTTGTGAGCCCCTGCCTCCCCACGCGCCGCTTGTGAGCAGCCAGAGGAGCACGGGACGCTGGGGACCGTCACACAGCTGGTGGCTGAGGGCCGTAGCCCTGCACCAGGCACAGACTCCCAGAGTTCAGCCTCAGATAGTTAAAAATAACCAAGTAGGGGACTACGAAGGACGCAGTCACTACGTGATAAGCGCTGTGCAGGAACACACAGCATTCTGTTCATTGCAGGCTACACCTGAATGGCACTGCACTGCCGCTCTCAGCTTCAGCGGGCGGCAGGTAACTGCCTGGGTGACACGGCGTAGTCTCTTCTCAAGCCACATTTCATTACTTCCCGACCTTATTTCTCTGTCATTTTGGATTTGCTCTCCAACAGCCCTGGGAAAGAAAGCAAGCCGTCAAAGTCTGGGCCCATTATCGGCTTTTTTTCAGCCTTTCAGATGAGAAAACCCCTGTAGTGAACACTGTGAACCATAAGGACTGGGACGGAGGGAAGGGAGATGGAGAGCTGAGCATGAGGGATCAACACTGAGCTAAGCCTCACCTACACTTGACTTGAATCACCTATTTGTGCAATGCCAAAAATCTTTGATGGCCCTGGAATAAATTTAGCATGGGCAGAAATTACTCCAAGACCGGATCAGCAAGTAACTCGGGATTGCTTAGTTCCACAGGGCTGGGCAATTTTGCCCTGACTTCCAGCCTACCCAAGGTGAGCCAAACAGCACCTTCATGCTGGCACTGGACAGACAAACTGGGGGTTGGTTAAGGCTCAACCCAGGAGCGTGTTACCTCGGTGCAGCTGATCGGCAGCAAGTTTATACATCCCAAAGCCTAAAGCCGGCTGATGCCCTGGGGGTCCACCCAGCTCCCCTCTTCTGTACAAGGGCTGGGAAGGTTTAGGGAGGAAGGAGGGGCTGGGCTCAAATCATACGCACCTAAGATTTCCATAAAACCCATTCCAAAAGTCTTTACGTGCTCCTGGACTTTTCCACCTGATGGGTCTCCAAGGCCCAAAGCTGAACATGGGAGAGGAGAGCGAGCAGACCCCATGTGCTGGCTCGTAGGCATGGCAAGGAAGAGAAACCTTGAAGCAAATCACTTCTTCAAGCTTTATTTTTCTGTTTGCTTCTTCCCTGCGTTGCTGACATGTTTTGCCTACCTAGAGTGTGATATTGCGGCCCTCGATGCTATTCTTCCAAGTTTACTTCCACCACAGGCTCTTGTTGGCTCCGTCCGAGTGACGCAAATCAACTGAATTTTCTGCAGGTCTGGTGGAAAACGGTTTGCAGACAACTTCGGCATAAATAATTTTAATTTGCCTGTTAATAAGTACCTCTGTCTCTGCATGGGGAATTTGTCAGGACTTGGTGACTTTTCTGTTACCGAAGCAACAAAGTCAAAGCCGTCATGGATTGTGCAGGACACAATTAGCTGGAGAAGATAACTACATGGGAATTGAGGTGAGATTTCACGAAGGTTGGTGGGATGGGCATGGCTAATTCCTTTTACTCTGAAAGCTGGCAGCAGCAGCTCTAACTACCCCCTACCTCAGACTGTTCAAACTTTCCAAAATGAAATTTAACCGTTTCACAGCCGGCTTACAAAGAAGTGTTGGCAAGCGAGGAGGGCTGGTCGGGCCGGCAAGGAGGGAAGGGAGCTGGAGTTCAAGGATAGGAAAGGGAAAAGCACACCAGGTCAGTGAGCCCTCTGGCTCACTGGACACCCCCAAGCGAGGCCCAAACCTGGGCAGAAGCAAAGCGATGCTCTTGGGCACCAGACAGGTATGTATGGGGAGCCCTCACCCCAAGACCCTCACCACATTTTCCCATGGAAGCACCCTGTCAGAGGAGCCTGGGGGGGTCTGCTCCACTTCTATATACACAATCAGACAGGTATGTATGGGGAGCCCTCGCCCCAAGACCCTCACCACACTTTCCCATGGGAGCGCTCTGTCAGAGGAGCCTGGGGGGCTCTGCTCCACTTCTATATACACAAGTCCTACAAGCTGCAGTTGTGAGAAATGCCACATGTTACTCCTTACTAAAGAAACGATGGCCAAGGCAAGGTGGACCATGGCACAGGAGCAGAAGTGCGGTGGAGGGGTCACCAGACAACAGCTATGCCCATGCATAATGCGGGAAAATGCCGCTTTCCCTTCCGTACCGCGGTGTGCGCACAAGGAAAAGTTGCTTAGGTACTGCTGCCACGGTGGGGACCCTCAGGGTGTTATGTCAGCTCCCTAATACTTGCACTGTCACTTGACAGGGACACGATGGCACCAACTGGAGACGTGGGAAATAAAACGTGTCCCCCTAGTCCCTTCTTCCCAAGCCACAGGGGTATGGCCCACGGTCCCAGGGATGTCCCCTGCTCCTCCCCCCTACCCAGAGCTGTCTGTGGAGATAGATATCTAGATATAGATATCTAGATAGAGATAGTGAATATATTGCCCATGTCCCATTCTGCTCCACAGTGAAGCGTTTATAACCAGAGCACGTGGGCCAAGACAGCAAGCTGGACACACCAGTACATTTTCTTAACCCCAAGGCAACAAACACTGTCACTCAGGTTTGGATTCTCTGAATTTCCTCAAATAAGCCTGCTCTTCTCATGCACATCTGTATGCTCCCAGTGCCGTGAAGATGAGTCTGAAGTCCTCAGAATT